CTAGTTCTTTAAATGATAAATGTCATTTTCTAAATTTGTATTATTTTAAATAGGGCTCTGCAACTAAAAGCTTGCTTATTCGCAGAGTTCCCTTTTCACTAGTAGATCATTTCCTTGTACTTATATTCTTTTTATTATTATGAATTATCATCACGTACTGTACAAATTGTTATAAATTATATGACGAAAGTGAAATAAATATTACTTGAATTAAATTGAATTGAATTCTATAATTTTTCTATTTAAATAATTTTAATTAATTTAATAAAGTGTAATATTGTTTATATAGTGATTTAAAAACGATCCATGTGTCATAAAACTTACGGTACTTTGATTTAAGTAGGCCGATAACAATCGCATAAAAATACACATTCATGATAATAGAATGCATCATAAAGTGGTCCTAATGCCATTAATGTCCTCAAAATCATGGTGTATTTATACAGTTTAATATATTTCCTGCATTGTATTCGTTTTTCGATATATATATATGTGGCGAATGAGTAAATGTAGAAAAAGCTAGAAACAATTGGCTAGGTGAGATGAGAATAAACATCGTGAACAAAGAGTGACAAGAAGGGCAAAGCATTGTATTAGTTTTTCGATATATTTATCAGCATTGTTGTTGTTTCTAAATATTGTATACCGAATATATATATATATATATATATATATATATATATATATATATATANNNNTATAGGCCTACAATATACATACAATATACATATATATACAATGCACTATACATATATATATATATATATATATAATATATATATATATATATTAGAAGATGAAGATTCCACGTTTGCTTCGATAAATAAAATATAGAAAGACAGCAATAAAAAACAGCTATGAGTTGTAAATATACTAGAAGCAATATAATTTATTAAATCACAAAAAAAATTCAAACACTCCTGTGTTCTTCCTCAGTGTGAGTTGTCCTTTCTTTGAAGTAGGCCTATGAATTCTATTAAGATTAGTTTTATTTCCCGAGCCTCATATTGATAAACCATAAGTGAGAGTTGGCAGTATGAGTGATTTATAAATGATGAGAAGTACTTGAAAAAAAGGTAGAAAAGCTTTTAAAATGTTCATAGCACCTATAATTTTAGATACTTTACTTATAATTGTATTTACATGGCTTGTGAAGTTTAACATTTCATCTTGGATGACTACCAATAACTGCGAATTTTTAACTCTTTCAAGAATATCATCACCAATCCTTAGCACTAGATTTGAAGAGTTAAAAATTGTATTTTTCCCACTAAAGATCATGTATTTTTCTTGTTTGTATTTACAGTAAGCTTATTATTAATAAACCATTAATTAAAGCGGCATTTAAATTCAGAATTCATTGTTTTGTATGCATCAGATATATTTTTATGTTCTAAAAATAGGTTAGTACCATCTGCAAACATGATTAAATGAGCATAATTACATACTAATATCATATCATTGATAAACATTTAAAATAGTAAGGGACCGATAATCGATCAACGAGGAACGCCGTACTTAATATGTCTTAAATCAGATTTACATTTACACACATCAACATATTGTTCTCTTTCATATAAATAGGTACGAAACCAGTCGAGTATAATACCCCTAATACCATAATAAGGTAACTTATCAATGAGTATTCTATGATCTAAGGAATCAAAAGCCTTGGAGAGGTCCAAGTATACTCCTATCGTTAACAACTTGTTGTCAAGTGCTGATGATATTTTATCAAGCGCCTGTAATTATGCGTTAGTGGAATGACCCTATCTGAAACCGAATTAAGACTGGCTAAGAAGATTATGTGTCTTCATGAATGTAATAGTCTGGTCATAGACAATGTATATATACAGACAATGATTTTGAGAAAATTAACAGCATTAATATCATGAATTTAGCGATTGTTATAATAGGTCTACTGTATTTAAATTAAAATGCATTTTACCACCCACGTATGGTTTTTAAGTCATTATATAAATAATATTGCACTTTATTAAATTAATTAAAATTATTTCACTTAGCCTACTTTTAAAGAGTACTTAGATTTACATTGTTGAATGTAGGTTGCAAAAATATGTGCCTACGACTAACGGTATGTCATTACACAACAACAAATCTTTAGCTCTGTTTCTTACTGTTGTTTACATTTTCACTCAGATATTCCGATTTATTATGTGCCATTGTATGAAAAGGACTCAAAATAATTTTAAAACACAGTCTCCGGTCTGAAATTGTAAGCCTGAACAACAACACAACAATGGATACCGCAATTAAATCAATCATTAAGGCATACAGGCTTGTACAACTAAATATGGTACACTCTCTACTTACCTATATGTACATTTTCTTACTTAGAAGAAAACACAATTCAAAAATTCAACAATTTAGAAGATGTTTTTGCGACGACATGTCTACGATACAGTACCAGTGGTTCACATACACGCTTGCTTCAACCATAATTTGAATATTAAAAGACAGGTACACCAACCAGTTATCTGAAGGAAAGTTGCTGCCAAGGACAGTAGTGCCCTACCAGGCTAAACCTACAAATTATTAGTTCAGCGCTAACCCCTTATTAGCGTCGACCCTCGAATTGGTCTAGCACTGGGTACCGAAACGGTATCCGAAAAGTTTGTCAAAATATAGATTTCCGGCCGAATTAATTGCAACTTTGCCAAAGTCCAGTTTGCCGAATCAAGTGTATCGAAATCATGACAACCCAGTTTGCCAAAACACAGTTTGCCCAGTGGCGTCAAGAGGGGGGCGGGCAGGGTTCGCTGCCCCGGGGCCCGGGTCTACTGGGGGGGGGGGGGGACCCGG